CGCCAACATGAACCACACACATGCTCAACATGCTGACGTTCCAAACCAAACCACGATCACGAGGCAGAACGTCTGTACCAGTTGTTCGTGTCGATCCGGCACCATTATCCTCGATTTCGGTGCGAATCGCTTGGGTGAGAACTGGAATGAAGCGTTTGAGCGCCTTTTCAGGATTGACCTTGCAAAGTGCATTGCAAATGAAGGCCATGGCGTCTCGAGCCTGGTGAATAACGTGGTTTGACACAAAATCAACGATCTTGGAGAGGGCAATGTCGTAGTACTCGGGTGACAGGGAAGCAAGGAGGGGCATGAACGTGGCGGGCAGTGTGTTCACGATGTTCTCTTCTGGGGAGCCGTTGCGAACGCGAGTTACATCTGGCAGGTTCTCGAGAAGCGTGAAGACGCGGCCAAGGAATGAGATGGTAAAATCACCAAAACCACAGGTCGATGATCGCAAAATCATTTCCTCGGTTGTATCGTCAAGCTCAGTATCATAATTGAACTGCACATCAGACCCTTCTTCCTCCATTCGCTCCATTTCGCCAGAAATCCACTGCATGGCCAGCATGTTACAGTTAACATCCTCTCTTCCCTGAGTCATGTCAACCATAGGGATGTTGTAGCATGCTGACTGGATGAAAGAAAGGGCATGGAGCGACTTCTCCAGATCATTGGCATCGATACCAGGTAAAGAAAGGCCAAGGAGAGTTGTCATATGACAACGGTAACCCCTAGTTCGAGTGATGACGCGGGATAGTACTTGCATGGCGCGCAGGGAGGATGTTGTCCGGTGGACCTCGACCAGACCCTGTAGAGCGGGATAGATTCTCTGCAAAGCCCCGGGGAGGATCAGATGGGGTTCCAAATAGGCAAGACCTTGAAGGGTTGACAGCGAGAAAGTCATGGCAGTGCTGCTCTTGGCGTAGATTCCCATGAAGATTACGTCCCTCAGGCACAACACAAAGCGGCGCTTCAGTGGCTCACTCAGTCGTCGCTCAGCTGGCACTTCCATCTCTCCACTTTGCTCACGATTCCAACGCATCACGAAGAAGTCTGTTAGATAATAAACTAATTGCGATAGGGTTTTTGTCCAGCTACCGGAGTTCGACGGATGGAAGAATGTTTCAACGGCCTGAATGAGGCCCTCCAAATGTGAAAGAACAGAATCTTCAGACTCCAGACAAGCAGGAGAGAGCGACATTACTATCCAACGGGCGATGTGGTGGGCAACAGGGTGTTTCCGTGTATCGCGATCAAGCATGATACCCAACCCGGAAGAAATATCTACCAAGGCGCTGTAAGGCGAAGAAGACTGTCCCACGGGAATCTCCAAGAGTCGTAGAGTCGCCGTGAAAATAAGTGAGGATTGTTCCTTTGTAAAAAGACCATGTTCGGAGAATGGGATTTGAGCGGCTGTCAAGGAATCCCGAGCCAATCGTGACAAATAGTCCAAATATGTCGTGTCGAAGGTCTTCGAGCGCCCGACCAGGGACCAAAGGTGGAAATGAGTCGGGAGATAGGTTTGGGGGAGGAGATCTTGTCGGTCTGCGGGGGCGGGCGATGTTGGAAGCAACAGGTTGATCAACCCCGCAACCACGAAAGCACCTTCGGAGAACGAGGTTGTGTAGTGAGGTAGAAATTCTTCAAGCATCGCGGGAACCTCGCACGGGTCGATGAACAGCTGCGCGAAGGCGCAAAGCTTGGTCAACGTCTTCACATTTCGTTTCAGGTTTGTCGAGTGAACCAATCCGGACTCGGTCGGGAGTACGAAGGCCTTCAGTTCTTTGTAGAGAGGCTTCCAATCAAGAGTCAGGTCTTTCACGGGTCGAAGGTAGTGCTTGCGCCTGCGTTATGGTTAGCACCAAAGCTTCCCCGCTCATCCAGTTATCCGGGTATCGCTCACTTTGTAAGAAGCATGAACATGCTCGCGAATCGCTCAGAGACGCCGGGGTCTATCCCGGGAGCTAGCGAAAGCTCGTAGTACAGCTTCACGAGATTGATCCGCTCCTTTCGAGTCGGGTCGAACTTCAGCGATAGCCACCCTCGGAGCTCGCGTGTCCAGTGGACAGCTCCCGGACTGAAATCGCCAGCTTCCACGGATACATATAACTGATTCAAGATCTCTCTCAGAGTTCTTTCCCGTTCTGTCTCATCCTCTAACGGATATGGAAGGTATTGAAAGTATGGATAGGTGCGCGGGCGAACACGGGCTTTGGGTTCGCTGCTGCCGTTTACCGCGGCAGGCTCACCACCCGGTGAGGTGGCCCGGGAAATCTCTGAGGCATGAGGGAAATTATCGGATGTCAGAATCGCCTTGCCTAGGCTTGAGGCGTCCATAATCGCATGCGAGGGAGGGGGTAGGAGGGTGAGGGGAGAAGGTGGAGATTGGGGCGAGGAAGGGAGTTGGCGTGGAGGTCAGATCGGGGTCTGATCTGAGATACGTCAGCAAGTCCCCCCAAAAAAGACCCTTGGAAGCATCATCTGTCATATCACAGGAATTAGGGAAATGATTGTTAGCATACCTTTTTCAGCACAAAACTCGGATTTCCACGCCGCTGGGTAGGAGAGATGAGGCCGGAGAAAGTGTTGCACACGGCCGAAAGCGCATGAGGAACTGGGCTCTCGGGGAAAGCGACGCGAAGCTCCAAAGTGGGCTGGCGATCAAGTTCAAGTTGGGCGCCAGCTCTTAGTAATCGATGAGGTATAACGTAATTCCCGCCCGAGCGAGACACCCGGCCGACCGAGACACCCATCCAAAATCGCGTCTTTCTGCCCACACATCAACTTCAACCACCTACCATGCCACCAATTCGCTCTGAATCCTCGCAGAAATTGGCTAATCGAGAGGGAAAGATCTTATTAGCCCTTGATGATCTTCAAAAAGGCCGTATCAAATCTATTCGTGCAGCAGCGAAGCTATACGAAATACCGCTTGCTACACTACACCACCGCGCCCAAGGACGCCTTTCACGCGTTGATATACGCCCAAACGGCTATAAATTGACCCAATTAGAAGAAGATTCACTTGTTGAATGGATTCTCTCTATGGATTTACGTGGAGCAGCACCTAGGCCGGCTACTGTACGAGAGATGGCTAATATCCTACTGGCTGCACGTGGTAGCTACCCCCCGCCTACTGTTGGCAAGAATTGGTCATCAACCTTTATAAATCGACGCGATGAGATTCGATCACGCTTCTCTAGACGATACGACTACCAGCGTGCACTAAATGAAGATCCAAAATCGCTACGAGAGTGGTTCACGACCGTACAACGTGTTATTGATGAGAACGGTATACAAGCGGAGGATATCTACAACTTTGATGAGACAGGATTTGCAATGGGTCTTATATCTACACAGAAAGTGGTCACACGAGCTGAATACTATAGTCGGCGATCGATACTACAGCCAGGAAATCGTGGATGGGTTACTGCTATTGAAGCAATTTGTGCAGATGGCTATTCGCTACCGCCATGTGTGATTTTCAAAGGTAAAGTCGCTATTGCTGGTTGGTTTGATAATCTACCACGCGATTGGCGATTTGAAGTATCCAATAATGGCTGGACTACCGATGAGATTGGCCTACGCTGGCTAGAAAAGCTATTTATCCCATCAACGAATTCACGTGTACGTGGTCGATTTCGGCTACTAATTCTTGATGGCCATGGTAGCCACCTTACGCCTAAATTCGACCGATTATGTGCAGAAAACAATATCATACCTCTGTGTATGCCTTCGCATTCATCACATCTACTACAACCGCTAGATATTGGCTGTTTTGCAGTGCTAAAGCGTACATATAGTCGCTTTATAAGTGATCTTGCACGCAGGGGATATAATCATATCGATAAATTCGATTTCTTGGAAGACTACCAGCATGCGCGGCAAGAAGCCTTTCAATCAAGCACTATTCAAAATAGCTTCACAGCCAGTGGCTTAGTACCAATTGATGCAGAAAGAGTGCTCTCGAAGCTTAATATCTCTATACGAACACCTACACCACCACGCAGCCGGCCAAGCAGCAGATCTAGCCAATTCACACCACAAACACCTAGAACCGTTACTCAGCTATTCAAACAAGCTTCTATGTTAAAGGATCTGCTAAAACGACGGTCAAAAAGTCCTCCAAGCCCATCAAAAACTATCTTGGATCAACTTATTAAGGGTCACTGCCTATCGCTACACAACACTGCATTGCTTGCGCAGGATAATGCAAATCTACGCGCAGCAAATGAAAAGAAACGCCAGAAACGTAATCGGTCGCATAAACAGATACCCTGCGAAGAGGGTTTGACCGTTGAAGAGGGCCTACAGCTAGCTACGCAGCTAGAACTATCAGCAGAAGCACCTATGGTAGAATCATATACGCAGGGCGAATTGCCTATTCAGGCAAATAGGCCGGCTACTAGGGCCCCGCCCAGGTGTAGTGGGTGTAGGGAGATTGGCCACAGGATCAATTCATGTAAAAATCGCTATATTTAGTCAAATGGGTAGGCGTTGGTTGAGATAATCGATTTTGAAATTTTCTAATGGTGATGGGTGTCTCGGTCGGCCGGGTGTCTCGCTCGGGCGGGAATTACGTTAATTCTGTGAGGGAGTAATCAACAACCTTGGGAAGGCTGGGAGGTTCAACCAGAAGGATGAGAGGTCTCAGTTGGCTCAGTTGGCTCAGTTGGAGCTGGATGACATAATTCCACGTAACTGCCGAAAAGAGAAGAGCTGCAGCATTGACCAGTGGCCTAGTACGTAGTATAGTATTCTATTATAGCTCAAGTGGAGGTGTTTCGATGATTTAAAAATGTCTCTTTTCGATCCTAGGATCCGATTTCACCTACTTTATATGGGATACGGGGTTCAAGTTTTTGGTTTTCTTTGCTAGGCAGCGAGTACGCCTCACCAGCCCAACTTAGGCAGACAATCCTTACGCAAGCGGAACACTACCCGAGTCCAACCACCAGATTATCATTAGTGATTTATTTATTTTCCACAAGCACAAATCATTATGCCGGCGGTAAAAAGGAACCGAAGAGAACCCCTTGGATCAACGCATAGCCCACCATGGCTTGGGTTGCGACCGAGAGAAGGCTGCAGCTCTGGCTCTTGCGGGGCCCCTGCAAGCCATCCATAGCTTTCGACACCAACCACCAATACCATAGAGGGTATCCAGATGAGATCCGGTTGATGATCTGCACATGATAACTAGTCAATGCCATGATCGCCAGCAGACCCTGGGGTACCGCAAGACGGAAGAGCATCGACCCCGGACTGACAGTCGAGGCGGAGTGGCCACCAGATCCAGACGCCAAGGTTGATGGAGCTTGAAGCGCCCACCAGGACGATATGCAAAGAATGACCAACATTGGGGTTGCCAGTAAAAATAGAGGAATATTGGAAACCGTCCAGTACCGAAGAAACCCAACATTCCTAAATTCGTTAGCAAGGATTGAGAAGTGTGCTCAACTCAATTAACCGCGAGGCGTGGGGGATATCACATACCAATACTGACCTTGCACCCAAGTATAGATGCTAGGCACAGTCCAGCTACACCACGGCCGAGCATTGACCCCCAGTAAGCAGTACTCGCGGTAGGCCAGGATCTGTGGCACGGTCATTCCCAATGCCACAATTGACCCCCCAAAAATGACCACGGCCAAGCGACGAATGGTACGGCGAGAAGGTCCCTGGGTCACAATCGACCAGGCTAAAATGGCAGCATCGTAGGCGAATAAGAATCCACTCAAGACACCATTGCTGCGGACGAGTGTCGCCAGAGCGAAAAGCACGGCAGCTGTGATGACGAGAATATCTCGGAAACGGACCGCGCCCTTGTGATCAGCAATGAGCGAGGATGTATAGAGATAGAAGCCCGAGATATTCAGGAATGAGAATATTGATTCTCCATACGGGGCCGAAAGAAAGGCACCCGCCGGGCTGATGATGTGCAGGGCAGCCGACAAGAGGCAAACGAGCCGCTGGGTGGGAGTTTCATGGCCGAAAACATTGGCCGAAAGACCATACAAGGCCAACACGGAGAGGTAATGAGCAACGTGAGACAAGGCCACGCCGATTAAAGCCGCCGTGACCGGTCCACTCAGACCGCCAGACTGGCGGATTCCTAATGATAACAAATCAACAAGATGAAACCCCCGAGGTTTGCAAGCAGGCTAGGCATGACTACTCACCGGAGAGAAAGAAACCGAGGACTCGAGGGTAACTGAAAGCCCACTCCTGCTCAAACACATAGCCATGTTCGGCGGTATGCACAAAATAAATTGCATCCCATCGGGCAAATTTTAAAGACAGAGGGAGCGCGGCGGCCGGGCTGTCAGGGGCCTGGCCGGCATGCTCGTTGGTGAGGAGGGTGGTGGAGGTATCGTATCCGGGACCTGGACAAGCAACGACGGCGAGGAACAAGAGAGCTTTCCAGAGGGCAAAGGCCACGGTCAAGCTCCGACCAGGGTTATCCAGTCGCAACAAGGCGGCGCGACGACCAATCGAGGACATTCCCAAGTGACGTGAGTCTGTGGGTCATTCGAATTAAGTTGAAGGGGGTTTACAGTAGCAAAGAGCTCGGAAGTAACCGAGGCAGTGATTAGCTACTAGTATGGTACTTCATTCGGAGTAGGTCCAGGAGATGCCAGGACCAGTGATACGATCAGGGATGCGCATAAATTATAAATTATAAATTATGCACAAACACTGAGTCAGCGGATGTGGGTCCTTCCGCTATGCCGAACATACAAACAGTACTTTGCTACAGTGTTTAGTTGCTATAACCAAGCGTGTGTTTCTGCTGGAAGCAACAGTCAGTGTGGCGGAGTGGTCTAACGCGCTAGACTTGAATGTTCTTACAGGAATATGTTTCCTTAGGATAAATCTTTCAGATATCTAGTACCTTCGGGTGCCCAGGTTCGAACCCTGGCGCTGACGTAGTTTTTTTTTCACATACCTGCTGCTATGTAGTTTAGTAGTGGCTAATATACATATATACCTACTACCTACTACGTATACAATAAATAGTACTTGTTCCTTTTCTCCAATTTTGAAACTTGAACTTTTTAGAAGATCCTCTTACTATCAGTAGCATCACTCTATCCGCTCCATCCGGTGGCAACCCTGGCCGCACGCACACGACAGACCAATCTTGGCAGTTGGTCATCCGACAAAAATCAGGAAGATCCACTGTTAAAAGAGGTAGGTACTCTAGAGAGGAGTACAAACTTTTAGCATTTCATTATGTTTGGAATCGACCCACCCCGAGACCAGACCTGTAGACCCTTCGGCCCTTCGGCCCTCACCTGGGCAGCTCTCAGCCCTACCGTGTTCTCGGAGACAGCCGCTTACTAACTATACCTTTGGTAGCAGAGAAGAAGGGATCTCCAATGTGCAACAACTTCAAGTTATACTAGTATATCCCAGGACTCACTTGAACTAACTATATGTGTGTATTAAATATAGCTTTGAGCTGTCTCTCCCAGTACCAGGAGTTACCTAGGTACTTTGTAACTTTGGAAATAATTGTCTTCAACTGAATGTTGGCCCATGTTGGCCAATCTTGGCGGGGCTCCGAACCGAGCCGGCGAGAAGGATTTCGGTCATTTTCCTTACCGACTTCCGCGGCGCGAGGTCTATCCGCGGCCTTTGTTTGCTACTAGTACATTTACACTTGCTTACACAGTCCTCGGTAGCTCTTCCAGAGATCAAGGTTTTGTCCCGTGTTTAGTGTCTAATGACTAGTGGTTGTCCCGGTGCTTTTTCTCAGTTCCACGAAGAAAAGTCTGTTGCTGGCATGACTTGTTCCCCACCTGGTCCGGACCCTCATGAATAATGAATAATGATTAATGATTATACATCGACTCCGTTTTATAGTACTAAGGGATCCTTTAGAGTACGAGTAGATCGACCTAGGCGATGCTGCTAGTATGTATTTTCCCTGTAGGGGAGTAGACACGCGGGCTAGGCTTTCTACTCCGTAGTACATAATATATACTATATAGACTCCGTACTGCATAGCTGCGCACCCCGGTCGATTGCCCTAGAGCCAAACAAAAGTAGAGCTAGCAAGCTGAAGAAGTTCGGCGCCGCCAGGACCTACTAGTCCTACTAAGTCAATGGCCACTTTTTTGATCGACCAATAAAGCGATCGTCAAAGCCGCAGGGGCGTCGCCAAGATACGCCCAGGGCCAAGGAGGACCAAATAGAACCAAAGAGGCCAAACAAATGAGGGGATTTTACTTCATTCAACTTCAGCATGACGCATTCTCGGAGTCGGAGCCTCACATGGCTCACGCTTTAGGGCGATCGCGCCGCCGGATGTGTCGGAGGCCGCAATCGCCGATCCGCTCCATTCATTACTTTGTAGCTTGCAAAGTGGACCTTTTTTTCGCATTTTCATTTTCGTGTTCAATTTGATCCAATTGTATAAGGCTGACCGCTGCTCTCTGTCAACTGTCAACTTTGGTGTATCCCACCTAAAAGAGAGAGAAAAGAACCAAAACCACCTGGGCACCCTCACGATCCCTTGCATCCCCGTGACTCCCTGGATTCTCTCTTTCCCTTTGGTCCAACACTGACCTACCCTCTACTACTACTACTTGCCCAGGTGCATTCACACTATTCTCTACTCTGACCACCTTCATTCTTTCTATACCTCGCACACGCATACTTCTCTCTCTCTTTTTTTTCCCCTTTGTTTTCCTTAAACTTCTTCCCCCACTTTTCAATCACCCCCCCCACAGCTGACGCGTTGACCCTGGATGTGTACGCGGATTCCTGGGGTCAACTAACAACACCGTGACCCTTATACATACTCCAAATCAAAATACAATACCCATCAATGTGGCTCCGCCGAGTCCAAGAATGCTGCTGAATCTTGGCCTCACAGCGGATGCCGCAGCAGCCCATTCTACCGATTCCACCTCTCCTCAACCGGATACACCTTCAGCTCCCAGTTCTCCGTCCTGCTACGCCGCGGGCTTTTTACTCCCAGCTCTGCCATTTCTGGGATCTCTCTACAGCCCAAACCCCAAACAGATCGATGGTCCTGTCCAGCCTGCGGAATCTGCATCCGCTCCGGCCATGAGTCCCGTTGCGGTGACACCTCGTGAAGGCGAGTCCTCTCAAACCCCAACGCCACCGACTCTTGCCCAGCCTCGTGTCAGCTCGTATACGAATCGGAAGCCAACGCGGCCAAAGACCTCGTACCAGCTCGCCCACCCAGCTTCACATGCCCGTCACAAACGACTCAGACTGCGCCCAAGGCTATTGCTTCAACTCCAGCAGGTGTCGCAAACACCGCGTCCTTTACCCATCCTAGATATTCTACCATCCACGATCTATAACTCCCTTCTCGCGGGCAAGTTTCCCGCCTTGTTCCGTGGGCGAAATGGGCTGGGCCCGAATGACCTGGTTATAGTCATGAGCGAGCTATACGAACGCACTGTCTCAAGCATCCCAGAAAAGGCGCCAAAGTCAGAGGCTGAAAATCACGATCACCGAGAAGTGGTCGCTACCATCTGTCAGATGCTCCAGGAGGATGCACATCTGAAAGGGAAGGCTGAAATATGCCTCAACTTCGGCCCCATCTGGGAAGCAACTCCGCTGCTGAGCGGCTCTTATGAGTTCGTCGCGCGCACGGAGAACGGTCTGCGAGTGATGCGATGGGCCTTGCGAGCTGGAAAAAGCCGCCGATCTTCATCGGTCCACCCAGTCACTCAGCCGCGCGAAGAGGGCAAGCGATTCACCTTTAGCGTCATCGACCCCCAGACTCGTCGACACCCCGTCATCGCCTCTATGACCCGCAATCAGTTAGAGATTTTCGATGAATACTCTGCGGTAGCTCGATCGAATACTGGCCCGACGACCCCCACTTCCGCGATGTCCGTCATCAGTGATTTCTCTGACGCTGAAGCCCCTATCGAACCCAACGACGTCGTCACTCTCGACGATGGCCTGCGCACACTGATCATCACGACGAGCATCTGGGTTGCCTTTCGAGAAGGCTGGTCCCCCAACTTCAGCTACCGCGACCCTTTGTCTAGCTCCAACGGCAAACCGATTGTCTCCCCAACCTCATCTCGAAATGGCTCGCCGGCTGTCGCAAAGAACGAAAACAAAAATACCAATGAGCAGGATGGCTTAAGCCCAATGAAGGAAGTTGCCAACAACGGCAAACGTTGTATGTCCGTATCCAGTTTCCGCCGCCCAATCACCACAGCTCCGGCGGAAGGGGACAAATCCTTCGGCGGTCTATCCAAGCGCTCAAATTCAACTGGCGCGGCGTTCATGGAAAGGGCTAAGCAACGGACCGCCTCGGGGATCACAACCCGACTCAACCGACATAGTATGTTCACTGCCACGGGCGAGAACGGTCGTGAAGTCGTCGTCTCTCGCCCGCGTCCTTGCGCCAGAGTTCCTTCGACCCCGATGACACTATCCAACGTCCCGACCGCTCCCAGACCAAATCCAGCCCTCGGGACACTAACGAAAACTCCAAGCCACCTCTCCAACCTGACCGGGCTACTCTCGATCGTCACCCAGCAGCATACCCCGCCTCATGGCAGGATCATGGCAAGGATATCGACCACGCAAAGACCAAACGACGCCACCGATTCAGTTCTATCTTCACGGTGTTTCACCGAAAAGGAACGGTCCATTGATACCCTCTCCTCACATCACCCTCTTCCCTCTTGCCAAGTCTCCTCTCTTTTCAAATACTTATACCCCTGCATCTGCATCTTGTCAGCGATCTGTCTGTATTTTCTATCTAGCATTGTCTCGGTGCCCAATTGCATCTGGGATAGGCGTTGCTCTGGTAAATGACTCGTCCGGTACGGAGTCTCACTACCTCTTTTCTTTCGGGCCTGGTCTTGTCCATTCCACTTCGAATGTGACTTCCATGGGACCCGCCTTCGGAATAGCATTTCTGGTACTGCGGTACCAGGACAAGCGGGTCAATCATTTTATCGTTGCATACCATTGCTATCTTCCTGTATGCACCGTGACCTTTTCTTTTTCTACCTATGACTTAAACTCGGCTATGGCCTGCCTAGTCGAGCTTCAGCTATGACATAAAGATGCCCAGCTCAGAAAATTATTTACGGATAAATACCAATCAACATTTTCATGACCTACATTCATTAAATAATATCTTACTGAGTTACAAACTATCTTTACATCGAAGAAGTTGCTTCATCACCTATACCCATTCGTGTTTCCTGCAGTAGGTCAGAACAGCACTCAGCTACCTCTAACAGCACATCCAAGTTAGACCGCCATTTTAGAACTGCGCCGTCCGGTTAGCAGGCGCACCGGTGTACAGCTGCTGCCCATTCTTTTTAAGCCAGTGATAACTTTTTGGCCCTCAGAGCCGATAGCCCACTCGGCGAACCTATCAGCCATCTTCTCGTACTTGGCATTCTTACCGACAAGGATATGAGCAGGGTTGAGAAGCGGGTCAGGAGGCTCATCAGTAGAAGCCTTGAAGATAACAGCTTTGCTCGCGACATCCTCTTCAATTGAGAGAGAGGTACGTGCCGCGGTCGGTGATGGTATACTCCTCCAGCTTTATGGCTGCATTCAGGGCCTGGATCGGATAAGCAATATACTGGTGGTACCACGGGGAGTATTTCGTGGCCCAAGGGACATGACCGATAGAAAGCCACAGCGAGGAGTCCTTGATGTTAGTGGCGGACTTGTCGTAGCGAGTCAGGAAGCGCACAGGGAGGTCGCTGGTACCGTTCTCAGCAGCGGTGTATATGTCTGAGAACTGGCTCTTGATGTTTTGGTTGTGCGAGATCTTGGCTGGGTTCGACTTGGGGCCCACTAGGAGGAAGTGATTGCGCCAGGTGTACCAGGCTGGGTCCTTGGCAATTCCCTTCTTGATGGCGATCTGCTCTGCTGCGGGACTGTAGGTGATGCCGATGTCGACGGTGTTGTCTTTTAGATGGTTTATCGACTCGGTGGTGTCACTCTTGTACCATTCGATGGCGAAGGGGTTGGAGCAGTTCTTCACGCTGGACTTGATGAAAGCATTGGCAAGGGCTGTACCGATAAAGCTTAGAGATAGGATTGTTGGGGACAATGTATTTTTTCATTTCTCTGCTATCTTACCCTCGATCAGACCACGTTATCCAGCACCGCCGTTACCAATACGGAGCTGTACATCCTTCGAAGAGGAATCGCCAGTGTAGATCGCAGCAGGAGCAACAGCGACGGCTGAGACTATGAGCATCAAGCTCGAGACAATATTGAAGGAGCGCATGATGAAATATGGGATGGGTTAGACTACCTAGGTACGGAGCAATCCGGGAAAGGGAATGACTGGGGCTTATAGAAAAAGAAGGGCCTAAGTAAGACAACGATGACAGGGTCTTAGAGACAAGAGAAGTAATTGCTCCATACTTTCAGACAGAATAAGATGGTCCATTCAAATTTCAGCTCATGTTTGTATAGATCTGCAAGGAGGAGTCTTGGATACAAATATCAACGTTCGCTTGGAAAGTTGATGATCACCATGTTGATGCCAACAGATCCATGACCCACCGTAGCTGAGAAGAGGCTCTCTGAACCATCAGATTGTACAAAGTTCGAACATTTCTCTTCTGCTGAGCCTGCTTATATCTAGACTAGGAACCCATGCTGACACAAACAAGTCATCTTAAAATCTGTGTGCTATCGTGAGATCGATTCGACCGTCTATCGTTATACAAGGCTGAGTGGTGAGCATTTCCGGAAGATCCCAGCCTTAATTTCCACATCGACGTATTGAACACATGAGCTGTATGGCCGATGTGAAAATAAAGGCCCTGTTAATTCAAATTTGACTCCTTATCATGACATGGACCGAAATAGTCGATCGCGAGCCTATGGACCCTGCTTTCTACATAGAATAGGCCACTGCAAATTTGACTTTGATTGCTGGATGCAGCCCTCATCCATGGATGAAAACGCGTTTGGGGGAGTAACTATCAGAAGCGTTTATTCACCAAAGACAGTTTGACCTTGAAAGAAATGTGTAATCCACTCGGACTCAAAATTGTTGCGAAATACCTAGGTATTGGGATAGCCTCTAGGTATATCCATGTCCACATCTATCACCATGGATGCGATCTATCATTTAATTTATCGCTCCAGAGGAGCGACAGCCTTGGCCACGTAGGGCTCCTCTAAATACTGGATATCCTCTGGGGTAAGCTCAACCTTCAGACTGGCCACGGCCTCATCAATTCGCTCGATGCTGCTCAGTCCGACAATAGGGTTCTCACTCTGGTGACTCAAAGACCAAGCCAGAGAGATCTGTGCCATGCTCACCCCCTTCTTACTCGCCAGCTCCTCCACGCGATCAACAATCGCCTTGTCTGATTCAGTCTCGCGGCTGCGAATAAGCATCTTCAATGCGCCATCGGTGTTCTCACGCACACTCGAGCGGGAGCCCCAAGGTCGGGTGAGAACACCACGAGCCATGGGAGACCATGGGATGAGTCCCACCCCACTGTCGAGACAGTAGGGGATCATCTCACGCTCTTCCTCGCGGGCAATGAGGTTGTGGTAGTTTTGCATCGAGATGAACTGGTGCCAGCCTTTGCTGGCGGCGATGTTCTGAAGGGTTTGGAATTCCCAGGCTGCCATCTGTAGATCTTCGTCAGTATGGTACACCATTTTCCATGAAAAAGAATTTCCAGGGTATACAAGTGTCGCCTTGCAGACTGAGTACTTACCGAACTGGCACCGATGTAGCGCACCTTTCCACTCTCAACCACGTCGTTCAATGCCTTCATGATCTCCTCGCGAGGAGTCTCGCGATCCAGGCGGTGGATCTGCAGCACATCAATGTAGGTTCCCAGGCGCTTGACACTGGCGTCCACAGCATCAAAGATATGCTTGCGAGACAGACCAACACGATTGACGAAGTCGCCACCATTACGTGCTGTGGCAGCGATAGGTGGGAATTTGCCCTCGTCGTCAACACCGTAGAAACACTTTGTCAAGATCACGACGCGATTACGGGGGATTTTGTACTTCGTTAGGGCTTTGCCGACGATCTCCTCAGATCGACCATGCGCATAGACATCCGCCTGTCATAAATGAGCACGATTTCCAATGGGTGGGATTGGCGAATTTTGAGGCCAAATGGCAGTTCACTTACAGTATCCCAGGTGTTGATTCCCTTCTTGTAGGCATGCTCAATAAGGGGCAAGGCTTCCTCTTCGTCCAGGACCCAGTCTTGCCATTGTCTGCTGCCATAGGACATGGTACCCAGAATGATCTTGGAGATCTTGAGGCCCGAGTTTCCCAGGCTTTATCCCATTAATTGTAAGTATGAGTAACTTGATATTGCTGCGATATTTTCAAGTTGTTGCAGGTGAGGGGCTCGTACCGAACATATTCCATTTGCGAGTCCGACATACTAAGTGTGCGAGGTTGATGGTGATTCCTGGAGAAAGAATCATGAAATTAGCAAGTTCAGTCATTTGAAAAATTGGTGTCTGTATTAGTATTTGCGATATTTGGATTGCGCGTGACGTCAAGTTGTAATTTACAAGGGGTGGTCAAGTTCGTGGGTGACTCACTTAGTTGGGTATGAGGGCACTAATTCTTTTTTGGCGGGACTGTGAGACAACAATGTTTACTGTTGAAACGATACAGTGAATCAAACTCCAAGAAGAATAAAGATCGAAGGTGTCTAAGATGCAACTTGGACATGCGGTATTAATAATCGATCAAGATATGCCGAAACCAACAAGCGAGCGTCAGTTAACCGACGGATACCCGACAAGCTCTCTCTCGTCCACTCAAAGCCCACAGATTTTACCACTCGGGTCAGACACCGGATATGACGATCTGGGGTAAACCCACGGTGCTGGTTACGCCTTGATATTCTTTAGCCTTGAAAGTCACTAGGCCAACTTATTAATGCTCAAACTATGGGCTCATTGCGACGTGGATAGGAACATGAAAACTTAGTATATTCTGTCAAACGTTCCAGCACATAATATCATTTGAACTCCAGTATTGAACCGAATTTAAAAAATTCACCATCTATTCAGACAATCGCAGGTCGTAGACCTGTAAATATTCACTGCTCCAACTACTAGTAAAAATAGGTTAGGCCTAATGCGGTTTAGTGCTCCCCTCCCTCACAAAGGCTTTCCTTCTCTCGTTGTGGTGGGCAATGTACACATCAGACCTTATCCACCATGAAGACGTGCACGTTCGTGACTGGTAACGCTAACAAGGTTATCGAGGTAAATGCTATCTTGGGAGAGAAAATAGCGATAGAGCCGCGTGCATTTGACCTTCCAGAAATCCAAGGCACGTTGGAAGAAATCGCAATAGACAAATGTCGACGTGCTGCCAAAATTGTCAGAGAATCATCCTATAGATTCCCGTTGATATAGTTTCTGGTTTTAATTAATTTACAGGTAGAAGGACCGGTAATAGTTGAAGATTCTGCATTAGAATTCAATGCGATGAACAAGCTTCCGGGCCCTTATATGTGAGTATACCAACCTTGGAATAGAAGAAGCTTTTGCAGATACTAGAATATACCCCACTGATATTTGGTTATCTGATACTTCTTATAAAAACCAGAAAGCAATTTCTCGAGCTCCTCGGAAATGATGGCCTCAATAAACTGTTGCATTCATATACCGATAAAACGGCAGAAGCCGTGTGCACATTTGCATTTACCACAGGGCCTTCTATCGACCCTATCACCTTTCAAGGAAGGCTCAAGGTTTGTTCAAAACCGCCATAGATAAATTTTATATTGGCTCCGGTTACTCATTATCTATACAAAAGGGCCAAATTGTTTCTGCAAGGGGGCCACCCGTGTTTGGTAAATACCGTTTTCCATCGATGAACATATTCGAATTTTCTACTAATGCACATCAGGCTGGGAGCCAATATTTGAGCACGAGGGTGAGACCCTTGCAGAAATGGCACACGAGAAAAAGGTATGAGATTTTTCAAACTATTCGGGTATGATAATTGAAACTAACTTTGGCCTAGAATGGACTGTCCCATCGTTATCAGGCATTACTGAAATTCCAAGAGTGGCTGGCAGCTCAAGAGCTCGATATTTAGAATATACTAGACCTGCTCCAACATATTTCTCAGCTTTCAAATTCTTCGATAATACGAATTGTATAAATGTAAAAGCAATTTGGCACCGGTGTTGATTCCTTCTAGAGTGACAAAATTCTTCTTAGTACAGCTAAAAGCGTGGCTTCGCAGTCAGTCTCGACCATTTTGCTGCGCCATGCTATGAAATGGTCTGATGGACTAGAATAGCGCCGGACTTGTAAAACTTTCTATAATCCTCCCATTCAAAGTAAGGGTCTTCATAGTCCTGACCGTGCCCAGCCGAGGACACTGCGATATTCAACCCGAGGATAGTTCTTATCCGGATCGCAGATATCTTCCACTTCCCCCCTCCAATTCCGGTGAAAATGGCAAAACGTCCGTGCCCAGCGAGATCAATCGTGGAAATTGGGATTGAAGGAATGACTGTATTGAGCCATGCATGTGGGAGATGAGCTCCTGGATATGTGGCCTTATAGTAACTCAGTCGCGGCTCTAACCTCTCCGGTGGCTTTATATCAGGCTCCTTTGGACTCGAGTCGTACTGGAAAATACATACTCATAGTTTACTCAAGGATGGCCTCCAGTATTTAACTTGGCATCGGAGTTCAGAGCAGAATTCGCCTTCTCACTGGATAACGAATCAATATTTCCTCAATCCAGAGTACGGTGTATCATCCTCGAAGTCGAAATATGTTGCCATAGTTTCAGTCATCTTGGCAACCGTAAATCCGACTCATCCCCACCAGGGTCCCAGCTGCCGAGCCACGCCGAGTCAATTGATTGAAATTTCATACCTAGAGTCGTTGGAGAGCTATCCAAAGCTATAGAGATATCCCACGCAGTTACGTGGCACTCTGTCTACTAGGTTAGCGTGGATAAAAGAAAAAGAGCTAGCAAGGGTTGGCTTTTGGAAGTGAAATTGCATTAGATTATGTCGCTTACACATTGAGATCAACCATCAGCCCGGAGTAATTTAGACCAAGTCAAGCTGGTGGGAGGGGGAAAAAAGAGCAAAAACGACAGCTGGCGGATTTGAACCGCCGCCTCCGAAGAGAATTGATTTCTAGTCAATCGCCTTAGACCACTCGGCCAAACTGCCTTTCTATTTAAGAAAGCCAGACTTAAGCGACACATGGAAAACTTGGTTGAAGCTAGAGAAAAAGCAAAAAACGACAGCTGGCGGATTTGAACCGCCGCCTCCGAAGAGAATTGATTTCTAGTCAATCGCCTTAGACCACTCGGCCAAACTGCCTTAATAGATAATATTGGCGAAGAAGCATGTCTTACAGAGATAAACTGGAAAATTAACCAATTACCGCTTCTCTCCTCCCTTCTTTGATATAGCAGCTAATACTTATTCTAAGTTATTCATAACTATGATATTTTGTAAAAAAAAATAAAAATTATATATATATATATACGCCCTCTTTACAATAACCACATTACTAGTACTAGCATGTATTAATATAGTTCTACAGTATTTATAATTCTTACAGTATATCACACACTAATTTGGAGGATCTAGTATACTACTCCTGACAAATATATATAGTATATGTATATGAATCTTGAACCTTTAAAGATATACTGACTTGAACACTCTACTAGATATATGATATAGTTTGCTCTATTCCATAGAGGATAGACAAAAAGAAAAAGAGCGGTTGCTAGGGAAACACTCGATCAAGCAGATATTAGACTGTACGCCCGGACGGTTCCAAACTAATAAAGTATCATAGCCCTGGCCGGGGAAGGCTGTTATCTAGGTATAATGCAGCGATTCTGATTCAGGCTGGCAAGTCTTAATGTCATTGCGAAGAGATGTAAGTAGTACTTGTCACCGGATATCAAATTGATAACCATCCTTGGTTTATTCGATCCTTAAGAAGTATTGACATACCTACAGCAACACCCCTCTCCAATATCGAGATGCAATTATAATACAGTTCGTCTCTGATTGTGAAGAGCTCAGGTACGCGAAGATCAAAATACATCGAAACGAAGATCAGGCAACATGTAGTAACAGATGATAAAAGCAATGAGCTTAGAGAACAGAAGAGGAAGAAGAAAGCAGGAAATTGGCACAGGTGGTTAATGATAAGGCAACCGGGCAGTAATAATATAGACTCGTCACAATGATTGCGATATCCTGGATGAATTGGGAAGAGTGTAGCGAACTAGAGTTGTTACTATTGTATTGTTGATGCTTTGTGCGGATGGCATCCACTTAGGCATCCACAGCCTGCATCTGTATTCAGCTTTCGTCTCTTCTTCTTCTTCTTCTCCTCCTCCTCAGGGTATTACCTTTGCCAAACCGCTACTACTAATCTGCCTGGTATCTACATATATATTGATCTGTGATATCTAAGTATCCTCACATTATAATAGGTTCCGGTACTCCCTCGAGTACTATATGGGCACGCCCTGACACGGATACAACTCGATAGGCCAAGCTTTGTTAGTTTTACCTCAGAGACCCCGTAATTTTTGTAGATTCACGAATAATGCTATCTTCGTCATCCGCCGCGATAGAGGTCATTTCCAACCTTTTTTCCCATATTGTCACTTTGTCACCTCATCAGTTTATTAATCTGTCACCTTATTGATTTATCGCTTTATAACCCCATCAATCACTTCGTCATTTACATCGCCCTTTCGCCTTCTTCTTATTTTGTCCTACCTATTAATCTGTCGTTCCATCGATCTTATTTTATCACATTTCGCTCTTTTGATATGGATCTTAATCAGATTCGTGCCAACCCTCAGGGACTCAATACCCTCCAGTGTTTAGTTGATACCCTTAAGAGACTTCAGTCATTCTATCGGAAGCAGCAAGTACAAGCCAACCTGCTGCACGGTCATTCCCAGCTTCCCACTCAAGCTCATGCTCAACCGTCTCAACACCCGAAACCTCTGCTTCCTGATATATAGAAGCTTTCACTTGATACTCAAGCACTTAGAGATGCCAAAGATCAATTTTCCTACATCTATATTTAGCCTGACATCGCCAAGATCGCTGCTTTTTCAAAGATCGTCAGCTCAATAACAACATTCGCAATCGACACAGCTCAACCTTCCTCGTACTACACCGAGATCATCCAAGCCGTTCAGCAGCTCGCGAGCTACACTGGCACACCCCCCGCTGACCCTTACAATTCGACCAAGCCTGGCAAAGGTCGTGGTACCAGCAATGGTAATATAGGTGGTGGTGATCGGATGGATATTGATTCAATTGAATACGATGATGAATAAACAAAGCCTTAGGACGCTGCCTTTTTCCCCAACGAACTAGAGTCCTTACTATTGTATCCGTGCTGTGATGGTATCTGCCCGTGCCTAGCTTTTGTTTCTTCTTCTTCTTCTTCTTCGCTCTTTCCCTTAAGCTATTACTTTCGTTGAACCGTTACTATACGCTACCTGATCTGTTTCATCGTATCTTGATATATGAGTATCTGAGCATCCTCACGTATACTACCAGCAACAAAGCATGTCTGAGACAAAACTATGACCGTTGTCCCCGCTCTAAATTAGTATAAACTGCACCTTTATAATTCATATTTCAATGACATTACAGGCCGTTCAAAAGCATGCAATTATTATAAAACCTAGTACTGTAGCAAGGAAGGGATCAACAATACAATATTGACAACTCTAGTTCGTAAAGTAGACAACAATATCTGTATATGTATAGTTGTGGTTCCTTATTCTCCTTCCTAGCTTACCTTCAAGGTGAAGGTGAGAGCAAAAAACGACAGCTGGCGGATTTGAACCGCCGCCTCCGAAGAGAATTGATTTCTAGTCAATCGCCTTAGACCACTCGGCCAAACTGCCTTTGAATGATATTAGATTCAAAATTATGGCTATATGATCTAATCGCTAGAGTAGTGTTGAATATTGTGCTTGTTGCCTTACGAAGATGGCATCAATTTAGGTATCTACCTTGGGTATCCACCTGTATCTAGCTTTTGTCACTTCTTCTTCTCCTCAAGCTATCTATTACTTTCGTCAAATTAATACTACTATGTTGCCTGGTATCTACTTATATATTGATCTGCGAATATCTCAGCATCCTCATACTCAGAACCGAGTACATGTAGTAGGCACAAGTTCTTGTGAAACAATTCAGTCAAATGATGTCAAATTATAAATTATTGATGATCCGGGCGACTTAGCTTCCGACGGCCCGTACAGTCCAAGTTCGTTGAGTTGCATAGCTCGATCCTAGTTGATTACTTGTAGAAGCCTTAAGTACTCGGTATTTCCCAGTACCCTTCTGGATCCTCTTAGCGGCGAGCCTGCGACGAATTTAGGGGGGGGGATTCTATGAAGAGCCCTGAGATTACGGACTAGAGACGAATCCGCTTATCAGAATCTTACAACTCCTACTACCTATCTGGGTGGGTACTTCTACTCACAATATTTTATAAACCCTCTAAAGTATATTGACATTCGCTTTGTATACGTATGGTGCGAATAGGTAGGATAGAGACGGACCCAAAAAAGGAACATAAAAGCAAAATGTGCAGAACGAACTATATACGTGAATTGAAGGAGAACATTCTAATTTCCAACAAAACAACCGAGAGAATAAAGTGAAGCGAGTGGCTCTCCTTCTTTTGTGCGCTTTGGCCCAAATGATGGTGTGGCCTATTTTCATGACATCGTTACAGATCGGCAAGGCGCCTGTCTATCCCCGGTTATACCTTTCATTGAATGCGTTCACCGCTGCGAAAATAAATTAGTTAGCATTGGGAAGTCACGGTAACTCAGGGCATTCAGTACATACCAACGGCAATTTGTCTGTAAAGCCAGTTTCGAGAGCTCTCATCCTGAACAGGAATGAAGGGTCCATTGGCACCACCCTTGAGTGTAATACTCATTCCCGTGCGTTCCTTGGAAATGGTCTGGATGTCCTTGAGGCGGATGTCCCACTCCGCATCAAGCTTCTTCGTACGCACGAGCATAATTCGGACGTAGGTCAACAGGACCATGATTTCACG